TTTCCTGTTTTGTCTTGGAGTTGCCCTCCTTGGACTTCTCGGGTTCTGGATACGTGGCCAGCTACAAAATCTCTCAAAGGTGATTATACTTACCTATGTTCCTTGTAAGATGGAAAAAAGGTGCTTCAAAAACTCGGTTATATCTTAAAAAATGCCTGTAGGGTATGTATGAGGGGCCACAAGTAGTTAGTGTGTGGGGTTATTGTTTCTAGATCTTGCACCACTATCCTATTGACATGTATATGTCAACGGTGAGGGCTGAAATCTGCTTCTTGAAGTGACTGAGAGCTGATGTGCTGGTAACAGTGAGGGTTTTTTTAGTCATACAGAGTCGTTAGTGTTACCATATGAGAACAAAGCAATCTGTCAAGCAGCTGGACCTAAGAAAAATACCTCTCGACCGATCAAAAAATAAATAAAAAATACCTCCCTTTTAATGCAGTTAGTGCTATTTCCTGAATAAAATATCTCTTAAAAAAATGTATCAGCAATAAGCACATTAGGGGTTTTTTCATTTAAGCATATGAATTCGTCTGCTCTTGTTTCCTTCTAAATCATTCTCTTTCTTTTCTGGATGTGTGTGTAGAAAACTAAGAGAGCACCAAAGGCAAAGGTTGAAGTTGGAACTGCAACAACTGATGCATCCATGGATGAATGGTTGCAGGTATGTGGTTTATTATATTGTTAAAGAGTACATTTCTGGAAATGTTTAGTAATCTGGATTTCAAAATTTTTATGTGTATATTTACATTTGGATTCGGGTCGGAAGGATTTGCTAACTTTCCTGTTCTTTTTTCAAGGGAACTGCATATACTCAGTCGCAGTCCAACAAGTTGAAGAAGAAGAAGTAAATGGCTTGAACTGCTACTTTTAGCTGTATTTTACCGGATGTCCAAAACGAGAGGGTTTAAATTAGAAATGTTAGACCTGCTTCACTGTTGTAGCACGAGGATAACTTATTAGCCTCCAATTTTACTTTTTACTACCAACGAACTAACTGGGTATCGAGGAAGCAAAGAAACAATTTTGTCAAATTCAACTCTCATTTTTCCCTTTCAACAAATTTACCTTTTCCCTTTGTGTTGACTTGGCGTGCACCAGATTCTTATGTTTTTTGTTGCTTTGAGTTGGATACTTCTGCCATCTTTAATTTGATTAGCCGTCTCTGTCTTCTAAAATCAATTAGAAGGAAACCACACCAGAATCTGCGGTCCATTATTCAGTCTGATGTTGCTTTCATTTCCTTGGCGTAAATTGAAATTGCCTTGCTTCTTCTAAGAGAAAATAAAGACTAAATTGTTTTAACGTCTTTAATGTTGTGTTAAGGAAACAAAGCATAATTTTAGACCTTCAGTAACTTTGCTTTAGACTGATTGATAAAGTAGAATCAATCTTTTCATAGTTCTTCAAATTGTTTCACTCAGTACGCACGGTTTAATAGAGTTGTCGGCTAGGAAGATTTGAACATGTTGAATTTGGAAAAATCTAATATAACAGTAACAGCGTCAAGTTAGACCATGGAAATGTGGACACCTAACATACATGAGATGAAATGGGAAGCAGATCACATCAATATACAGATCACCTTCATTACTATGACATTTAGGAGTGGGGGAAGAAGCAAAAGATTCATCAAAGATTTTTATTTTATTAGGCTTCGCTGGATCTCTATTATCCACTTTTGTGGCTCTGTATACTTAAAGCAATTAAGCATCACATGCTACAGAAATTGCAGTCGCCATATATGAAATGTGGAACCTCACCAACCTAATTGCCAACCGCGAGATATCATTTTCCTTCCCCTTTTGGTTGGAGAGGGAAATAAATTGAAGAAATTTCGTTTTCTTTGATAAAACAAGGAGAATAGAGCTGTTAACTCAGATATTTTTAAAGTAAATCATGGTTAAAGGGGAAATGTAGAAAGGAGATATTTAGTGTTCTTACCTCGCTCTTGATACCTTTAGTTCAAGTTATCTAAAACACCTTGCCTTTTTTCACACATTCAGATTGAATACTTTCGTACATTACAATTAATATTGACAGCATATGTACAAACCTTCTAACGTGACTATAAATTTTGTGCTTTGCATATTACAAAGCTGCATGTGATGTCGGAAATGGTATTCAAGTAAAGCATGGCGAATTATTTGGAGAATCCTTTTCACCGTTTCAACCTAATTTTCACAATTTCAACCTAAGTTCAAAGAAAAGTTAGCAACTTTTTTTTTTTTTTTTGGCAATT